CTCTTATTTTTTAGCTGTTTATTATCGTCTGCTCTTCGGCGCCAGTTTTAGAGCTAATTAAGTGAGGGCCAGCGGTGGATTCCAAAAAAAACAAAATATATTAAAATTACTTTAATTAATTACTTTTACAAATAATGAACTTAACTAAATACAATTATTTAATCGGCCCGATATTAGGTGCACGATAAATATATTATATAATAAACTTAACTACTTGAGACTTGACCGGTCCGATATGAGGTATCCGATCAAAAAGCTGTTGGTTTTCTTGTCCCTTTCCTTATATAGCGTAGTTTCGTAAGAGGTGACTTGTATTGGGTATGCGGGGCAAAGGGAGTGCAATGAATATGTAACAAGCTTGTCATATCTACGGGGTCTATCATGATATTGTTTTATAATTACATGTACATAATTTATAATTACATACATATATATACATGAAATCGTCTCCGTGTAGCGCCCGTGTTCAATCATTACCCTAGCGCCTATTAAGCGTGCAAATATACTCAGGCGCAGGTTAATCCAAAATATTATTAATATTGCTAGACTGGTGTGACCCCACGGACCAAGGTTTCGAAGCCGAATGGGACGAAATCATATTCGAAGCCTAGACCCCTCTATTTGCATGCTTTAGCTTTTTCAGCCGCTTCACAAGCCGCACCAGCTCCGTTGTTGGTTCCATGTAGATGGGAAGGGGCCAGCGTGTCTGAACAGGTTGCATCCTATACCAGCACCCGGCCCATCTTCCATGGATTCAAACTCATACCGTCCGGTGTCTTGCCATCGTCTCTTGCAATAGCAGTTGGCTCAAGTAGACTTGCCAAATGGACTTTCTTTCTATGTGCGCATTTAACATTCGCTCGGAGAAGGTAAACATCGTGAGGAAAACGACATGTCTTAAACCCAAAAAGTCGACGGCGTGTGTCAGGCACTGGAGGCTGATCACCTACTTGCCTATTAGATTTTAAAATAATCATGAAACAGATTTAGAAATCTGAGGCCAACCTATAAAGGTTGTAGCGCCACTGATTTATTTATTTTTAAATTTTCGTTGACATTTGCCCGTTATAATATACCCTTTGAAAACATTATGTTCATGGTTTTTGTTTCCGCCTTCACACTAATTGGTTCTGTACTCGGGAAACTTTATTTAAAGATAATAGAGAGAAGAGATCTAAATGTACCAAAAATCGTACAGGACATTCGCTAGCCATATTTTTGCTGTCTTACCTCAGACATTTTAATCACGCAACCGATTGTGGTTTTTATTTAGAGGTTATAATCTCTGTGTAGCTATTATAAAGTCTCTTTTTGTTTGTACGTTTAAATCTTCTAAACTACACTTTCCTGATTGCACGTCGCGACGGAAATAGCTAGTTTATGATATTTGGACTTATTATAGAGAGCTCAAATTTTAAAAATCATGAAACAAAAGAGAAGAAAACAATAGCATCGAATACAGTAAGTAAAAAATCACACGAAAATAATTGGTGTGAAATAACAGTTATTTCTTAGTTTCGCTATGTAAGTCTTATTTATTTATTATTATTCTTTTTATTATAACAATATGATAATAAATATGACATTTGCATGCCTACTTTTATTTGGCTGATTGTGAAGTTTTACAATCTGATAATAAATAATCTTTAGCTGATGTATACGATTTATTATTATCTATATAAAAGCTGACCCGACAAACGTTGTTTTTTCATGTATATTATTTCTACGAAACATTGTTTTAGTTCAATACAAATAACTTAAAACAAAAATAATAAATAGGGGTTGATCGTAGAGGGGTGAAAATTAAGGGTTGTATGTATTTATGTGTGTTGTATGATTGTATCATACAAAAATATTAAAAAAAAAATTGGGGTGGACACCCGCTATTACTTACGGGTGTGAAATATATTAGCCGATTCTCAATCTTACTGAATAAGCATAAAAATTTCATTAGAATCGGTAGAGCCGTTTCGGAGGAATATGGGAACGAACATTGTGACACGAAAATTTTATCTTTATATATATAATTCTTCTGTGAGTGTGTATCTCACTGAACTTCTCTCAAACGACTGGACCGATTTTGATGAAATTTTTTGTGTGTGTTCAAGGGGATCTGGGAATGGTTTAGATTCACAAATCAGCCCGGCAGATGGCACTGCAGTCGGTACTTTCATACTTTGCTTAATATCCTAATCGCTTTAAATATCATGCAGGACAACGTCTGTGGGGTCCACTAGTATACAAATATAGATATAAAAATGAATCCCTATTTCCCTTGATCACGGCATCACGAGTGAACGGCTGGAACGATTTCACTAATACTTTTTTTTGTGTTTGTTATTGTCAGGAGAAGGTTCTTATGAAAGAAAAAATAGGAAAATTGCGCGGAAAATTAGAAAATCTAAGAATACTGTAACTTATAATAAATAATATATGTATGCGTGTAACTTACAACCTAAAATTAGTTATGTAGCCTTACTAATGGTAGGTTAGTCTGTACATTAGTCCCGTTATGTTAACTTCCTTCATCACCATTGATACGGACCCCTTCACGGGTAAACCTCCTCTAGCTTCTTCAAAATGTCAGCCATAGCTGTCTTTCTCCATTCGCTTCCTAACGTTTATATTTCATCCTTTTTTTAGGGCGCCCCCATTTCCTTCTTCCCCTTGGTCCTTTCCATATAGTTGTCTTTAAAGTCCATCTTTCAGCTGTAGACATAAGGTAAGGATATAAAGAGACTCTCGACAAGTCGCCGAGGCCATCACCACTAATGTTGGCGAGTCAAGGCCGCACGAGTAGCTATCCACACTCTCGATTTAGTTGCTCGCTCTACTTCAAGATAAACGTGATTGGAGAGACTGAGTTAGCTACTTTAAATGCCCACCAATGTTATAATGTATTGCGTTTATAACACAAATGTAAACAGAAAATGATTGTCTAGTCTAGTCGACAAGTTGAAAATGGAACAAAACAGAGATACTGCTCTTAAAATTATGTGCGATAGCTCATTGGATCCGGAATGACGTCTAGAAAAATGTGCTAAAAGCGTGTATTAGCACATAAAAAATTGCAAAAGTTATAGACAATTAAAGATGAAAAAAAAATGGCATTTAGTTTTTTGCCAATATTTAATAAACTATTAATATTTAAGAAATTTCAAGATAAAGATTCTGAAAGAAGAGGAAATTTCCAATAAAAAACTCAAACTCTCGGAACTCTATCTCCATTATTTATAATTTTAATTTAACGCTGAAAATAGGTCTGCGGGTGAAATTTTTGGTATTCGCGCGTGGCGTCAAAAGCGACTACGGCACATTAATTAATTTATTTAAGGTATTGAATATTTTTTTTTAAATTTGAAAAAATTATGGTGTGTTCTGAACACTATAATTAATTTATTCCCAATTATTAAAAAAAAAATATTTTTAAATAAAAGTAATATTCATGATAATCAAAAAATTTACAAAAAAATTTTTTCTATACTTTGTTATATATGGTTGTTTTTGTTAATTTTAGAAGTTTTAGAAAAAAAATAAAAAAAAGTTGAATATTTGTTTATAACAAATTGGTAAGTTAATAAACAATAGAATTGTTGATTAAAAAAAATTTTTTTTCTGTTACTTTATAGAAGACTGTGAATTATGATTTTTAGAAAAAAAAAATTCTTAACTAATTATTTAAACAATAGAAAATTAAAAAAAACGATTATAAACAATTAAAAATTGTTATTAAGGAAAAAAATTTTTTTAAATCATAAAATTTTTAATGTAATAAAGTTGTGTTAAATTTTTTTTTTTAAATATTGATTTAATCAATTTGTTTAAAAAAAATTTATCAACAAATTTCTTAAATATTAATAGTTTATTAAATATTGGCAAAAAACTAAATGCCATTTTTTTTTCATCTTTAATTGTCTATAACTTTTGCAATTTTTTATGTGCTAATACACGCTTTTAGCACATTTTTCTAGACGTCATTCCGGATCCAATGAGCTATCTCACATAATTTTAAGAGCAGTATCTCTATTTTGTTCCATTTTCAACTTGTCGACTAGACTAGTCTGTAAAGTCGGTTTACGAACGATATAACGTGACAACGTCATAACAAAATATTGACGCCTACGTTTATTAATAAAATTGAATATTTTTTGTTCAATTGTCACTATTTTGTATGGATACAAAGAAGGAGTGAATCCTAGGACGCATAGGACAATCGAGTGAAAGAGAGATATATGCGGCGCAAGCGTACAATAAGCGTAACGGGACAATGAGTCATGCTCATGCTTCTTCAATGTCTAATAAATCGATGCGCCAGCGTTCATCGATTTATTAGAAATTGTCAAGTCAATAACATATAACATGCATGAATAAGATTTAATTAAAAGTTTCTTAGGTATCCTCTGAAAGTCGCCATTAATTATGTTTTTAACTTTTATATAGATATGTTTAATTGGCTTAAGCGATTCCACTTTTGAATTCCATCTGGAACCTACATTTGATAAAATTCTATAAAAGCCATACACAACTTGTTACTCCACTCCGTCATGATAAGAATGGGCGTTCTCACAATGCAGTAGATAACAACAAAACGTGGTTGATGCTCTCGCTTCGCATCCCACCCCTCTTACTTACGCCTCACCAACCGACAAAATGTAGAGAGGTGGCGCGGAGCCACGAGATAATTAGATTAGGTTAAAGAACAAGTGAGCTTCCGTCCTGCCCCTCAAGCCGAGGTCCGAGTCTCACAGAAATCGCCCATGCGCTAGTCGCGGGAAAAAGACCATTCCGGCTGAGCTATGCTCGCCAAAACAGTCCGAACTGTCGCGATTCCATTCCAAAAAAACGCCAACACGAGCGCACCGTTTACACACTTCGCTCGCGTCGTATTGAGTGTGGATGGGCAATAAAAATAAAAAGGGGCGGAGCCGAAGCGCAAGTAATATATATGTGTAATCAGGTGATTAGCCAAAGCGAGCCACGCTCCACAAACGATAGACGCGATGATTGTAATATTTTGTTTGTTATTTTGTTTAACCAATGCGTTTGAATCGCGCATAGTTAATACACATCAGGGTCCAGTTAAAGGTTACAAAGATGATGGGCTGTACACCTTCTATAGTGTGCCTTACGCCAAAGCTCCGACAGGAAGAGATAGATTCAAGGTAATTAAAGCAGAATATTATTGTATAGGTGTGAGGCGTGAGCAGTCATGGCCTAGTGGCTTCAGCGTGCGACTCTCATCCCTGAGGTAGGTTCGATCGGAACTAATGGATCTTCTTTCTATGTACGCATATAGCATATAACCGCTCGAACGGAGAAGGAAAACATCGTGAGGAAACTTTAGCCTTAGACCAGCGTTGCCAGACGTCCCGATTTTGGCGGGACGTCCCGATTTTTAAATCAAAATGAAATGTCCCGCGCGGGACAGGCTTAGTCCCGCTTTTCGGGAATAACTCGATGGCAATAAGAAGTGTGTACTACCACCACCGCACAATAATAGTACCAACTCTTTCAACAGTATCCAAAAAAAAAATACCAGGATTATCTTCAAACTTTATATTAAGTATCCTTCCATCAAACTGCTTTCCAAAACGCCTTCTTTTTGAAATGCTTCGTAAATTTAATGAAATCAGAGTTACTTATCAAGTTTAATCTGCAACTATCCTGTGACGAGTTCTTCGTCTTTTTTAAAGAGAAAAATGAAACTTTTAAAGATTTTATATCTTCATAGAAATATTATGAATAAGTAATTCTTATAAATTGTTACTGTCTTATTGTAAGTTGCAATTTGAAACACTCACTCTTCAGAGTATTGTTTGAAACGCTATATTTATCTAATAAATAAAACTTTTTTAATTTGGATTTTTTTGTTTTTTCATCAGAAGATGAATAAGAACTATTTAACGATAGGTTTAATCTGATTTAAATACATTTTCTGTGACTATTTTCTATTGTCACGCAAACGTGATTTGAACACAATTAAAAACATAAATATTTAAAAACTTCTGATTATTTAATTTTTTTACTATGTCCCGCTTTCGACAAATGAATCCCGCTTTTTTCACTTTAAGAGTGCCAAAATCCCGACTTGACTAAAAAGAAATCTGGCAACGCTGCCTTAGACCCAAAAGTCGACGGCGTGTGTCAAGCACAGACTGATCACCTACTTGCCTTGCTACAAATGATCCTGAAACAGATAATTAGCCACAAAAAAGGTTGCAGTGCCACTGATAAATTGTTTTTTAAATTATTGTATAAAGATTAGTAAAAAAAAATCTTAACGTGAAGACATATTTGGTAACACTAAAAGGTTAGCAAATGAACTTAATACTTAATTTAGTGATTTATTTATTGAAACACATAATATATAGTGCATTTTCTACATTATATGTTTAAGAAGAGAAAGACAAAATAGAGAAGAACTTTATTCACACAATAAAAAGGATATTTTGGTAAAAATAGTGCACTAGGACTCCCCGTGTCGTGGGCAGCCTCTTCCGCAGTCTCATCCATTTGTTGAGAATAATTTCTTTATAACACCAACATTTTATAATTTAACTACAGTTGCACAGTAAGAATTCTCCGTTTCAGCATAGGACAGGTTGAGATCGTGAATGTAAAAAGTTTTGGATCGTTAGTGAATTTTTATAATAATATTTGCAAGAATATGGTACAAACATGTTATGGTGGTACAATCTAAAGTTCGCATATTCTGCCACACATAATGCCACAAATTTGTCTTAAAAGGAATTTTACATAGAAGTTATGAGTCATAATCAGTCAATTTTTATATTATTTGAAGTGATAAAATATTCCATAATTCATTTATTAAATAATATATTTTTTTTAAAGTAGTACATTCAGTCGATTTTAAAAACTCTAGTAAGAAGATCTTTGAATGCTTTTGGTAAATTATTGTATTGCCATACAAAAGGTGTCTCGCCAATTCCAGATATATATGTATATTTGTCTAAAAATTTAAACAAAGAGGAGATATTTGAGGTCAAAGGGCGACAAAACGCCAGTATATGTAAGAACTTATATATGTATTTGTTGACCTTCAAATCTTGTCTTTTTGATATATTATTACATGTACAAAACATTATCATGACGAGGCGTTATCGATAATTAGCTATCACTTGAGCATAAAATTATTAAGTGCTAATTTATTACGTGTTTATTTATAAATTCTAAAACAACGTGTGCATAAAATATGACATCAGCCTTGCGATTCTGTAACTCACTTTTCGAACTCTCACAGCGGTTTTCGCAGCGGCGGTCACCCTCAAATCAGTCGTGAAGCAGTCATTTTACGATTTGGCATTCTGATAAGGAGGGAGCTTGTAGTTTATTGTTTGCTTGCCCTTCCCCGTCCGACGAACGTCAACGCGAGCATGGCCAAAAAGCTTGTTGTTTCATCCAGCGCAATGTCAGCAAGTGAGAACGCGATAACACTGAAAGAAAAATAGTGTGCGGAAATTTCATAAAACTAAGTAAGATTATGACAATTATGATTGCCAGACTAAATTTACTTTACGTATATCTTAATATATATAAATTACGTGTCACGTTGTTTGTCCGCTATGGACTCCTAAACTACCGAACCGATATCAATCAAATTTGCACACCGTGTGCAGTTTGATCTAACTTAAAAGATAGGATAGCTTACATCTCAATTTATACCCGCAATATTAGTTTTTTGCAAATTATTTGTTTATTATTTGACAGTCACAAGATGTCTAACAGATGGCGCTGTGTTGAAAGTACCAACGTTTCACATAAGCTACAATTTAGAGGCATAACCACCAAAAAAGCATGGCGGTCGCCATGACTGGTGTTCTCCTACCGTTTCCCTTGAATATTTTACTACTATGTAATATAACAAAATACTTAGCCACAGCAACGCTTGTCTGAGTTTGCTAGTATAATATAATTATATCATATTAATAAAAAGCCACTGGTCCTCTGTGGCAAAGACTTGGATAGGAACAGGACAGGGATAGGAAGCACTGGAAACAGCTGGAGGAGGCCTTTGTGCCACAAGGCAAGCTGTACAAGAGGACAGCTTGCAACAAAACCTTCTTAAAGAACTTTTTATATACATTATATTTTGTAAACTTCTTTTGTATTAGTTAAAATAAAGGCTTTGAAATTGATATCATGCTAAAGTGTTCTTAGAAGAAGTTTGTAAAGTCTTTCCCAGCCCAGGGAGTGTTATTAGTTTCGTTAATCATGACATTATCAATCTATCTTCTTTATCCCCCTTCCCCTACACTTAATATAAAGCTGAAAAGATCAGTTTGATTGAAAGCGCTAGACTCAGGAACTACTGGTTCCAGTTGAAATATTCTTCTGTGTTAGTCCATTTATGGAGGTAGGAAAAGAATTAACGTAGGTAAAACCGAGAAGCCCAGCTTATGTGTTTATCATCATAAATATCATCACCATCAGATCATAAATTTAAAACATTATTTTAAGAATGCATTTATTTTATTTTTGCTCTCAAAAATCACAGATGTTTAAATTAAAACAATGCAAAAAATGTGAAAAAAAATACGAGAACAAAAAATAATACGAGTACCTACAAAAAAAAGTGCGCAGACAAAGTACACATGTCAGAAGTGAAACTTCTTTGTAAATTAATTATTACTAAAGTAAAAACACCAATAGATGATCATGTGCCAGTAAATGATCACTCCATGTATTTGTATAATATCTATCTTCACACTGTTTACACACTGTATACGTGCTAATGATTATATAAATAAATAAAAAATCTGCGTTTACTGCACAAGACGTTATGCGACAGAGTTGCCATCTAAAGTTCTAATACAGTAGTTCTACTAAACGAATACATCAACCAATAGCGTGTATTTTTTCTCGTTCTCCTTTACTCTCCCTGTCTGTCTTTCTATAGTCCTTCTCTCGCTCCATTGCTATTTGCGCCATGCTACATTCGCCCTTTCTTACTCTCTCTCAATTGGTCTCAATAGCTCTTTCTTCGACAAAAACGCTGCACATCTTCGTGATACTAATATTATTATTATAGCGTTTCATCCGTAAAAAAATTACCCTCGTGCGCCTAAAGAAGTTTCACTTCAATAAGTAAACTTCCTCACAATCGAATAATGGTATAATTGTTCTAGGCACCCCTACCAGCAGAGGATCGGCCTTTCGTACTTGAAGCTGTAGACAAAGGCATCATGTGTCCACAACAAGATTTATCCATGATGGTGAAACGAAGTCTGTTAACAACAGAAGATTGTCTGATTGCAAACATATTCGTACCAGATACCACAAAAACAAATCTACCAGTAATCGTCTACGTGCACGGGGGAGGCTACATAGCCTGTTACGGAAATTTAGTCACTTATAAGAATTTAGTGAAAAGCAAAGATGTTATTGTCGTCACTTTTAATTACCGGCTAGGAGCGCACGGCTTCCTTTGTTTGGGAACAGAGGACATCCCTGGCAATGCTGGTATGAAGGATCAAGTCGCTCTTCTGCGTTGGGTTAAAGAAAACATCGCTAATTTCGGCGGGGACCCTGAAGAAGTGACCATAGCTGGTTATAGCGCTGGATCGTCATCAGTCGATCTACTCATGCTGTCAGATACGACGAAAGGTCTATTCAAGGGAGTGATACCAGAAAGTGGCGCGAATACCGCAGCTTGGAGTATTCAAACTGATCCAATTAAAAATGCTCAAGAATATGGACAAATTATAAACTTCACGGATTATAAAAACGTGGAAGCCCTCCAAGAGTTTTATAAAACAGTATCATATGAAATTCTCACGTCTGGAGAAATGAGTCTCCTAAATCGAACCGATTCAACATTCTTAATGGCTCCCTGTGTAGAGCGTGAAACAGATGAAGAAGAGTTTCTCACTGAGAGTCCAGTAAAAATCTTAAAGAATGGGAAGTATCATAAAGTGCCAATGCTGTATGGATTTGCTTCCATGGAGGGTCTGATGAGGAAAGACACCTTTGACCAATGGAAACATGAAATGAACAAAGATTTTGTTCAATTTCTACCTCCGGATTTGCAGTTTAAAAATGATAAGGAAAAAGCGATGGTTGCTGAGAAAATTAAGAAATTTTACTTCGGCAACGATCCGGTTAGTAACGAGAATATTTTGAGTTATGTAGACTTTTTCTCGGATGTCTTCTTCGCATATGCAACACTGAGATCTATTAAGTTGCATGTGGATGCTGGACATGATAAGATATATCTATACGAATATTCCTTTGTGCATGATGACATACCCACAATACCGTACACAAATATGCGTGGAGCAACTCACTGTGCCCAATCTAGCGATGTAGGAGATGGGAATTTTACACATTTCGACGAAGGTCTCTTTTCAAAGCCTGCCAGGGATATGAAGAAGACTGTGCGAGATCTTTGGTACAACTTTGTTAGTACAGGGTATGTATTTTTACTTAACAAGAGGCAAACGGGCAGAATTCTGATTTAATCACCCAGTAACATTCACATAATATAATATTTGATAGACCTCTTTGGTGAGTTCAACATTTACCAATAATTCACATTCCAAATTCAAATCATATTTATTTTAATTAAAATCAATTTTATTCCCCGTTTACGATTCGCGCGTTTTTCTGTTAATTTTTTTTCGTCATGTATTTTGTCAGCCAGTAACGTTCTCATACATTGTTTGACGGACCTCTTTGGTGACATTTACTAACAATTCACATTCTAAATTACGATTACATTTATTTTTATAAAAAGCTATTAGTCCCTGTTTGAACTATCTTTAGTGTTGGCTTAGTGGCTTCAGCGTGCGACGCTCATCTCTGAGGTCGTAGGTTCCCCGGCTATCTGTGCGCATTTAACATTTGCTTTCCTTAGACCCAAAAATTCGACATGTGTCAGGCACAGGAGGCTAACCACCTACTTCCCTATTAGATTGACAAATGATCATGAAATAAATACAGAAGTCTGAGGCCGGGAGGAGTTTGTAGTGCCATTGATTTATTTATTCATTACAACCTTAGAAACTGTCCGTAAGGACATTGAGAATGTAATTCCTTAGTTTTTTGAGAATGAAGATCCTGATTATAAAAATATTGTACAAAAACTTGGCAGTACAAATGATTTTTTTTTAAACTGATATAAAACACCACCTATACAGATAACCTAGTTGCCTTAATACACTCATGAAACAGATTTTGAGGCACAGACCTAAAAATGTGGTAGCGCCCCTGTTTTTTTTTTATTAGCACTGTTGTAATCTTTCTATATCAAAACAACGGTTGCTGGATCAGCTGTTTATTTAATTCATTCAATTTTATTTTTCAGACAACCAGTACCAGAGGGATCTGACTTCCCGTCATGGCCACCAGTAGGCAAAGACTCGACTCCATACATGGTGATAGACAATCCTATGCGCCTGAGTGGTTCATTGCTGAAGGAGAGAACACGGTTCTGGGATGAGATTTACTCAAAGCACTACCGACAGCCATCTCCACCATCTATTACACCAACCATAGACCGCACTGAATTATAGATAGTGTTTATGGTTTATTAGATAATCATAGACAAAAATATATTTGCGTATTTTTTCTGCCTGCGGATTTTTTTTAAATTATATCTTACTAGCAAATCCGGCGAACTCCGTTTCGCCACCAGATGGCTTCGTTTTATGTAACATTTCGTTTGGTGATTAAAAGATGAAGAAATTTTTTTTTCGTAAGATTTTCCCGCTTTTTTGTTGAAATTTTTCCTGAATTTTCTTTGCTATAAACCTCACGGAGCCCGAGACCTTTCCAACGAATGGAAATCGGTTCGTGCGTTCTGGAGTTATTGCGTCAGGAAGGAAAACCCGACTTATTTTAATATTATACTAGCTGACCGGGCAAACGTCGTTGTGCCAAATATATTATTTATAATAAAAAAATAGGGGTTGATCGTAGAGGGGTGAAAGTTAGGGGTTTGTATGTATTTTTTAATGCTGTATCATAAAAAATTAAAAACAGAAAAAAATATCTAAAAATAAAAATAAAAATTTAGGGGTGGACTACCCTTAACATTTAGGGGGATGATGTTGTCCGATTCTCAGACATACCCAATATGCACACAAAATTTCATGAGAATCGGTCGAGCCGTTTCGAGGAGTATGGCAACGAAAACTGTGACACGAGAATTTTATATATTAGATCTTATAAATAAACATGAAACAGATTCAGAAATCTGAGGCCAAGACCTAAAGAGGTTGTAGCACCACAGATTTTTTTAGGCTCTTTCTCGTCCCTACCCTATAAAAAATAAATAAAATGAAAATTGATGTTTAAATACTAATTAAAGCTACTTTCACGTTGTATGTCCTACGGTGTTATGTGGGGTGCTTCTGCAGAGGTTCAATCCATATTTGTGCTGCAGAAGCGGGCTGTTCGGGGTATTTATTGTGTTTCTCCGAGGGAGTCGGTCCGGAATAAGTTTAAGAATTATGTATCGACCCTATCTGGTTAATATATTCTTGAAGCCTTTTTGTATGTACCTAAAAATATAAACGATTTTAAAACAAATAGTGACTTTCACACGAAACAGAACTAATCTAAACGTACGACCAACCAGGCTCCAGAAGGTAAACCACTTCTTATATGGAAATTGTATTCGTTTTTACAATAAACTCTCAAGCGAAATTAGAGAATGATCACTAAATAAATTCAAAGCCCTCGTTAAACGTAAATTAATCAATAAAGCTTTTTATACATTTGAGGAATACTTAAATGATCCTAATCCTTGGGATTGATTTGCTTCAGTTCAAACAATTTGTATGACTCAAAACTTGGCGATTAAAAAGAGTGGCAGAGAGAGTTTCTTGATAGTTCTTCCTGCCTTTACGCCTTTGACTTGCGAACTGGTGGTAAATGTAAATTTAGAATCAATTTAACATCTTTTCTGTTGACGTTTAGACGTGTACTTCGTTACCTATATGAATAAGGTTGTTTTGAGTTTGATTAATAAAATTCTATACAATTAATTACGCCGATATAAAGGAGGTAATTAATTTAAGGATCAACAAAGGAACGCGTATTTAATTAACTAAGTTAAGATAAAGTTAATTAACTTCCGAAGATTCTATTTAATTACGATAAGCCTGATACAACGAGGGTAAATAATGAAGAGATAAGTGAAAACAAAACACTATTTTATAGACAAAATTTAGATAAAAATGCGTGCTTACCCACCATGACATACCCTGACACACCATCAAACAACACAGCCATTAGCCACTTCTTTTAAATATAAAATATTTTTTTCCTTTCATAAATGTTTGATCCTTTTTGTATTATGTATTTCCATCTTTGATATATTATATGCTACCTGATATATACGAGCAGTGTTGGCCTAGTGGCTTCAGAATGCGACTCTCATCCCAGAGGTCGTAGGTTCGATCCCCGGCTGTGCACCAATGGAATTTCTTTCTATGTGAGCATTTAACATTCGCTATAACGGTGAAGGAAAACATCGTAAGGAAACCGACGTGTCTTAGACCCAAAAAGTCGACGGGGTGTGTCAGGCACCTGATCTGATCTGGAGACTGATCACCTACTTGCCTATTAGATTTAAAAATGATCGTAAAACAGAATCAGAAATCTGAGGCCCAGACCTAAAGAGGTTGTAGCGCCACTGATTAATTTTTATGTATTTATTCCATCTTTGGTAAAAATAATTGTTTTTTTAAATATTTTTGATGTGAAAACTTCTTTATCATCGTTGTGATTTGAAAGTCGATGAAACGAAAAAGCGTCAGTAAAAAGAGACAGACACATACATTCATAAGATTTAACGAGGAAGAAAAGGACGAACGATGAAAAAAACTTTTAAATTAGTGATCTCTTATTTAATTGAATTAAATATAAAATTAAAAACCCTTTTTGAAGTAAAAACTTCTTACGTCTACCACTTATGAATTGATTGATTTTACAGAATAATATAATAAAATCATGGTATGTTACATTAGAAAACCGTGTTGTTAGTATAAATGTCATAGCACTCCTGTTTACGAGACAAATGCATATAAAAATAGTTCTTTAACTTTCTTTTTATGTCGGTTAACGTTAGGCTATCTAATAACTGAATAGCAGTCCATTAACAAATCCCTCAACGTTCTCTCGCCATAGACGTTTGCTCTCGAAGAACAGAGCCAAAATTACAGCTTGGGTCTGTACGTCATACTCAACTCGTTTTTATTTCTCATCTCATAAAAGTACTCTATTAGAAGACATTTATTAACTCTTTCTGCTACGGCATTTTGCATGGGGCCGTTCAAATATTACGTAAGAAGATTTGCTGCAATTTATTCATAGTTATTACGGGGGATGTATTTATTTATTGCATATTTTTTTTATATACAGTAACATGAACAATCAAAGCAAAAATATTTATTTATCTATTTAGTAGTTTTAGTAACAATTATTCTTATTTTTATTTCCTATTTAATCCTTCCTATTTAATTTCTTCGTATTTAATCCGAGAAAAGTTATTTTTGCTAAGCAGAAGTTGTCAGGCGTTTATTTTTATTGCATAGATGTATTATTATTGCTTTTAAATACAATATGAAACATAGCTTTTGTTAGATAATTTAAATAAATATAATATTCTATAGCTAGCTAATACTTGCTTTGTTGTATTAAATCCTAGTCTCCAAGTTTTATTATTTATATTCTCAAGTATTTCTTTATATTGGTTGAAATTATAATATGTATAGACTCTTGTTTAGTATTAAATACTTGTAATTGTATTGTTCCCCACTTGTCTGTAATAAATCTGCTTTTTCATACTTAATTTCAATCGTTTAATAATTTCGTAGTTTTATAAATTCATAATTGTTAATTTTAATTAATTTATTCTTCCTATCTCCCTAAGGTATTTACAGAATATCTATAGGTTGAGATTTTTAATTAGTACTGATTCTATTTTATTGTAATCATAATTTACTTTCTGTTAAATAACTGTAAATCTTCCTAAAATGTAATAAATAAAAAAGAAATCGAGTAGACTTATTCTGTCTGCGCTTCAACAAGACAGTCTTTAGTTTTAAATCACAGACAAAAATATTAGCTATTTAAATAGTGATAGACAGTTTATTGCCAGTTCTTCTCTTTCCTGATTTGATAATATGACGCGGAATGGGATTGGTGAATGTTATTAATTTTAAAGATAAATATATTACTTTTGGTCTCTTTACAATACTTATTTGGCATCGCATGTCTGGTACTTTTTTACTTACATAGTTCGCTGGTGCAGGGACCCAAAAGGAGCCTTGGACCACCACTATGTGGAACCAGCGGTCCACTGAAGTATTTCCGAACCAATTCGACTTAGAGTCCTTCTAGGGGAATTCTTAAAAGGCCGGAAAGACACGCGCGAGCCCACTGGCATTGAAGGTGTCCATGGGCGGCGGTATCACTTAACATCAGTTGAGCCTCCTGCCCGTTTGCCCCCTGTACTATCAAAAAGCATCATTACTCTGTTTTGTATGGTATATGTATATGAATCGAGCGACGTAGCTCTCGCCCTCAGATTACATCTGGTTTATTGATTATTTTTATTAATAGTATCAGATTCCAGTTAAATGGCTAACTCCAGGGTCAAATTCGACCGGCCTTGTGCTAGATTGGCAAATGAAAGGGCTGGAGACAGCTAGATAGAATACACTGTCAAATTACTGTGTTTGTTTCGTGATTTATTCTTATTAGGGAAGAAGGTTTCTGTACCACGTGGTTCAAATAGGTTTACTCACGATTTTTGCCTTCTCCGTGCGAGAGAATAGAGAAAAATAGTGTTAAATGCGAGCCGAAAGTCTGTAGCGATACCTACTGCATCTTATTCTGTATTCTTCTGCTTCAACATAAGACAGTATTTAGCTTCTTGCGGAGCCCAAACAGACGAGTTACACTCTAATATCTAATATACTTCTAACCAAAGCGTTGTACAAGCTTGAGATGGCTTTATTTTTTTTATAAACGCAATCAGGACGAAAATTAGTGTCGAAATCTTCCCATTCCTAAAAAGAGAATCTTAAAGGGTTGACGTCTCCCGCCGGGCCCGGGAGACTACTCCGGAAATATCACCATAATATTTATGGGTGAGTTGAGGCCCGGTGCTACCCGCATTACCTCTCGTGCTATTTATGTTAGTGACATATTTGACAATCTTGCAGCAGAATTTTTCCAGCTGCGACCTGTGCTGAATGTCGGATAATATAACAATATCCTGATGCTTATATAACCCGAATGTGCTGTTTTGAGACACTGGGTTCATATACATGCCCATTGCCCAATGCCTATGTACCTGGTGCCTCAAAACAACGCAGATTTATGAATTAAATGTTTTAATAATTTTGCTAGTTTTAATTTTAATTTTACTAACATAGAAGTATTACTAAACTAACAATATATGGACTTATAATGGTCTGAATTAAATGATTTTTATTTATTTTGTTTTTATCTAATATTAGTGAACGTTGACGTTCGAAGCTCAAGAAATTGTTATTATTAA